TATGTCTTTTACCGCTGCAAAAAGTCTGGTCTTATAGATTTCCCTGAAAAATGAGCTCCGACTAAAATAAAATATTTACTACCAATCTGCCAAATTTAATGGAATTTCACCAAAGGAAACGCAAGAAAATTCACTGTCAGTTTTGCTTTTTGTGCTCATGTTGACGTAATAAAATATCGAAAAACACTGACGTTTTCCTTTGAGTGCGCCAGATTACTGTACTTCCTCAGCACTCGTGTGATCATAAAACTATAGTGAGCCACCTTAATTACAAATATTTTGTTTCAGAGAATACACCAATCATGGTAAAAAAATGTTTCAAATTCTTGTATTTACTACCAGACTAATTATTAACTCCTTATCAGTCACTTAGCCAACTGATGAAATGTTGAGCCCTAGGCCACGTAATTAATTGCTCTAAGTAGCCATCAAAGTGACAGAATGAAATTCCTGTTGATATGTTTCTTTTGCCAACACTACATGGACTTAAATTGTAGAATACCATTCACACTCAAGTGCTTAAAACATTTACCTTCAGTAACTGAATTTACAACCAGAGAAAGTAGACCAGATTTGGGAACCATGGCTTTTCCAGTTCTTGATCGACTTCCCTCTGTATAAAATGAAAAGGAACAATAAACATACTATTGCACAAAGGAAAAGAAAGCTATGAATAAATGAAGGAAACCAGGAAGGAAGTTTAAAGGAAGAAATGGAAGGAAGAGAAGGATGGAGCCACGGATGGATAAATGAATCAAGGATGGAACAAGCAAATGGAGGGCTAGGTAAAATCTTGAAAAAATCGAGAATCAGGTGGACACTGCAGCAGGAAGACCAAAAATAATTTATTAAAGGGTTATGTTAAATTCTTTTTTTAAATTACAACACTGCACTTTGTGAGGCAATACAAATAGAAAAGAAAGTGTGCGTTTAACATACCTATATAAAACTCAAGGTATTGCCCATTCTGCAGAAGCTGTTCAACATACTGAAAAAGATGGAGAAAAAGGTCAGGATTGAAATTAAAAGAAGAAGGTTTTGATATTGGTCAATATTAAATGACATGGTTAGAACAAGAATCCTATTAACCTCCTGTAAAATGCACTTGTACAAATCATCTTTTCCACTGGAATGATCCAACTTTCGCTTAATGAAAAATCCACCAAGGTGTCTTAGAATCCAGCTGAAAAATGGAATCCTCAAGTTGTCTGCAATGACATAAGCTTGATGATTTTAGAGGTTTCACAAATGCCATTGATAATGTCTCTTTCTTAAGTAGAGAAAGCAGGGAGAGAATGAGGGTCAGGGAAGTTGGGAGGGAGGGAGGGAGGGAGGAAGGAAGAACAGAAGAGGGAGAGGTGAAGGAAAGAGGAACCCCATAATAATAGCCATTATAAACTTGTCTCTAGAGGTCACAGCACATTCAAAGTTTCACAGTGATCACAGTTTTCATACACACATCAATGACACTTAACAACATGCTAGCATTACATTTGTCCTTTAAATGCAAAACAGCTTGTTCTTGTATTTCAAAGAATATTATTTATTTAAAATGTTATTATCACCTCCTGCTGCTACATGTGGAACCTGAAAATTAAGAAAATGCAAGAATTCTCACTCATAATTGATTGAAATCTGAGATCACACATTACAGTGAGTATTCATATGTTAAACCTGAAACATTGTGAACCCTAGATCTTACATTATATAGCAGTGCTTGTAAATATCTGCCGAGGAACATGAGGGATGTGGATAGCTGATTGAGGCACTTCAAAACTGTGCAAAGTTAGCACACCTTTGAAGAGATTATAGTTGATCATTTGAAAGAAAACTCTAATTGAGATGAGGATCTGCCATTGAAACTTGATTACTAACCATACATTCTGACAAAAGAAAGAACATGGCATTGAAGATCAGCTGACATCCCTACCTTAATATCACAAGTAACAAGTACAAAGGTGAGTAGGAGATAGTCCATGTGGCTTTTGTGAAGTGGTAAGAACACAAGAGGTTTTTCATCCTGCAGAGGAATTGAAAAAGAAAGTTAAATGTTCTTAAATTTAGATTAATATTTTCTCAGCAGTTCTTACAGTCACCGACAATGAAAAAGCTGTTCCAACTCAGTTCTTCAAAACATAATTATCCTTAAGCAATGGCATGTGTACAATGAGATGGAGGACTTGACCAAGCAATAAAATAACCCCTGGGGAGGGGGATTCCCTTAATTAAATGGCCTATGCGAGAGATAATTATGTGTCACAGGACTGGGTGTGGGTTTTGTTTTTTACATATACAGGGTATGGGTAAGTCTGGCCTAAACAGGGTATGGTTGCAGGACTATCCATCCTGAAATATAATACTCAGCAAACTGGGATAGGAGATGTTTGCTGATATTTAGCCAGTCATCAGTCACCATCTGCTAATAATCTTTAGTACAAGAAATTAATAATTATTGCATTGCTGCAGTATCTAATTCCAACCAGTTCTTTGTCCTCGGCAGGGTAAGGGTTTCAAACTCCCAACAAAAACCTTACAGGGTTTTCATTAAGAATTGAAGTGGCAGGAGAGTGGTGTTAAGTAGCAGGAGAATGAATCTGAAAGAGCAAAGCTCTTTCTTGGAACCCTAAACTGGGTCAAATTATACCTTCCTGGGAAGTAACAAATTGTTGTGGGGCAATCTGACAACATTTTGGTAGTGTCATTCAAAGGGAGTAGCCTTAGTCACTTCATGCTGTCAAAAAAAAATCATTTTCTTATGTTAAAACCCAGTTCACCTTGGTTGTTTAACTATGACAGGCAACTGACCTGAGAAGCTTCCCTCAATATGTCAATTTGTCCTTTGTGAATCTGTACACTGGACAACAATCTTCCAAACACTTTGAACAGAAACCATGCTGTAAATCTGGATCAACATACATGTATGAAATAAGTATTACTAGTTATATGTTTACAACAGTTGCCACTGTCGTCCAATAGTGAAAGCAGTGTGCACACAACCTTGAACTCAAATATTCCACTAAACACTACACTCCTTTCTTGTCCAAAGAACAGGAAGAAAAGATACCCAGGAACAAGGCTGACATCAACCAACAAACAAAAATGAAATTTAAAATACTACCACTTCAGCCATGTGAAAAGTGATTAAAGATCAGTTTTACATGATCTGACATGTGATGTTTACTACAAATGTCACTAAATTGTAAGTCATGGACAAAATGATAAAATAATTAATGTTACCTGACAAACTTCCTGTACACTACTGCAGCCATCCCATTAAGGATATTCACTGCTTCTTTCTCAAGTGCATCAATCTTCTTTCGTCTTTCCTTCTCAGCAGTTTTCATGTCCTGAGCTGTAAACAGATAACAATTCTAACCTTAATAATATATTAACCAATTTCCCTAGCTGTCTACTCCCTGTCTCAGGGCCTAGAGGACAACATACGTTTGTGTGTTGTCCAAATAAACTGCTAAACACTCCGGATTTTACCGTTTGTAGTACAGGAATCTCAAAACTGTTTTCATGTTATAGCCTAGAAAATTGTAAAATAAATCATATAATTATTGATATTTTATGCAGTTAATTTTGCAAACTTATTTACCAGATGAAGCTGGTTCTTGTAAAGCTGGAGTCAGACTACAGGTCTTCACTCTAAATAGGAATGAGAAAAAAAAAGCAAAGCAAGAAAGTTCAATGAAAGAATACACATGTATGTCACACAGGAAGACTTGCGTTTGCAAGAACTTAATTCATCCATAGAAGAAATGAAGGTCTGGAATGATAGAGCAATGGAATGATAGCATTGTAAGAAATGCAGTTTAAATGAAAATGTGACCTAAAATACATAAGTAAGTTTTGCTCCTTAACAGAGAAAATTCACCCTTTGAACTCCTGGTAGAGATGAAAGACCATTCTCGAATACATCTGCCACCAAGGCTGCAATACTACACCTCAGGGGTTATGTTTAGTTTCTCAAGTTGTGTGTAAGTGACATACCGTGCTGACTCTTGGACGTTTCTCTTAACGCTAGGATACTGATGGCTGATGTCACGCTCCCACATGAAGACTATGTGACAAAAACTCCTTTTCAATAAATTCTGCCTGTAGTAGTTAATAAAATTAAAACCGCATTTAATGATTATTTTATACAAATTTTGAAGTTTTACTTTTACTGTAATGATATTACAAACCCTTAATTGTGAGACTTTAACCAGACTCACCCTTGCAACCTTACCTCTGACAGTCATAACCAACAAACAGAATGGTGATATCACTACATGTATAATCATAACTATAATAATTGCTGTTAACTATCAGAAGAGGATAACAGAACACAATATCATGTACAGAAATACAGTGGAACCCCTGCTATTCTGGTCACCAATGGGCCACAAAAATCTGGCTGTTCAATGGGGTGGCCATATTAAAGGGTTCTTCAATTAAGCAAGTGACTGACTGTGCTCTTGTTCGGGTCAGAATAAAGCGGCTGTTTTAACAAGGTGGCCATATGAACGGGATGACCATAAGGCAGGGTTCCACTGCAGTACACATCTCTACTGCAATTAGCAATTCTTAAGGGGAATTCAATGTTTAGTAAGAAACTTACTTTCTGAAACGATCCATGCTTAGAACATTGTGCATTCCCCATGAAGGCATCATTTCCTCATACAGTTTCTAACAAGAAGATCATAATATTAAGACAGTAGTTTAATTTACATGTATGTAATAACTAACAAAGAATTACTAGCAACACTTAAAGTACCTTGCTCTCTCTGCAACATCTGTTACAAGCTTCTCCCATAAATGGCCGCCTTCTTTTATAAATCGAAGGAACCACTGCAGCAGGTACATGAAATCTAATCTCTGTTAATGGCTGGAAGCTGTAATCCTCTTGCTNTTTCTCAAGTTGTGTGTAAGTGACATACCGTGCTGACTCTTGGACGTTTTTCTTAACGCTAGGATACTGATGGCTGATGTCACGCTCCCACATGAAGACTATGTGACAAAAACTCCTTTTCAATAAATTCTGCCTGTAGTAGTTAATAAAATTAAAACCGCATTTAATGATTACTTTATACAAATTTTGAACTTTTACTTTTACTGTAATGATATTAGAAACCCTTAATTCTGAGGTTTTGACCAGACTCACCCTTGCAACCTTACTTCTGACAGTCATATACAACAAACAGAAACTTTAAGGTGATGTCACTACATGTATAATCATAACTATAATAATTGCTGTTAACTATCAGAAGAGAATAACAGAACACAATATTATGTACAGAAATACAGCGGAACCCATGTTATTCTGGTCACCGACGGGCCACAAAAATCTGGCTGTTCAATGGGGTGGCCATATTAAAGGGGTTCTTTAAATAAGCAAATGACTGACTGCGCTCTTGTTTGGGCCAGAATAGCGTGGCTGTTTTAACAAGGTGGCCATATGAATGGGATGACCATAAGGCGGGGTTCCATTGCAGTACACATCTCTAAGGCAATTAGCAATTCTGAAGGGGAATTCAATGTTTAGTAAGGAACTTACTTTCTGGAACGATCCATGCTTAGAACATTGCGCATTCCCCATGAAGGCATCATTTCCTCATACAGTTTCTAACACAGAGATCATAATATTAAGAAAGTAGTTTAATTTACATGTATGTAATAACTAACAAGAATTACTAGCAACACTCAAAGTACCTTGCTCTCTCTGCAACATCTGTTACAAGCTTCTCCCATAAATGGCCGCCTTCTTTTATATATTGAAGGAACCACTGCAGCAGGTACATGAAATCTAATCTCTGTTAATGGCTGGAAGCTGTAATCCTCTTGCTGAGTGGGTAATTGAAAGAGAAAAACAAATTAATTTGGTGTAAAAGAGGTAACCAGTTAATGGTGCATTTAAACCCACCTATCAGATAGCTATTTTCTGTGGTGCGAAATAAATTATATCAATGATACACCTTAAGTTGCGTCTGGTTCAAAATATTTCAATTAAAGGCCATTTAAAATAACTAAATGTCACATTTCCGTACCCTTTCATATACCTAAAGTTGTGAAATCCCTTCCCTCTTATATACCTGAAACCTCCACATAATTATAGGCCATTATACGGAGTACC